TGCCCTTCTGACCCCTCTTTACTGTATCTTCCTGATCCCTCTGTACCGTGCCCTCCCAACCCCTCTGTACTGTACCATTTTTTGATTGGTGAGTGCTAGAAGAAGTACCGATACTTTTAGTCACATACTCGCCGAGACTGAGTACCGATATTTTGCAGTGCAATTTGCGTCTATACAAAATGTATGGACGCAAATTGCACCGCAAAGAATAACATGCAATTTGAACAGGAATGCTATTCCTGTGCAAATTGCATGCAGTTTCCCCAGTGCTCCTATATGAACCCAGGCTTGTCTCTGCACTGATTCCATGCTGAGCAGAGAATGAGAGAGAAAGGCACTATCCTTGGAGATCTGATCTGCCCACCTGGAAGAGCACCTGGTCTGAGCTGTTCTGAGAAGTGTGTGCAGTGAGTGGTTAGCTGGGAGGATTTTATCAGTGATGTGATTGCAGGTACTCCTATGCTAAGCTAGGTCTGTTGAGTTACTGTAGCTTAGCATAGAAGAGCTCTTAACCACTGACAAATGAGAAAAAGAAAGCATCTCCTTTTTTGATGTAGTACTGAACGCTTAAGACACTGGGCTCATTGAGTATGGCCACTGTACCAACACTTTGTTATGAGTGTGTATTAAGAGGTCTTTAAGCCACTGATCCTGATTTACCCATTGATTGCAGGCTGGTTATGGGTAGATCGCTTTCACTTCTCTGGCTTGTTGAACCCTATGCCAGCCACTGATTGATTTAAATTCAAGAAGTTCAGCAGGGACCATCCAAATTTCAATCCATGTATGGTCAGTTGTTCTGAAGTCGATCTATTGATAGACGTCAGTATAATCAGCCTGAGTATACTGCACTGATCCCCAAAGGCCCTCCACTCTCTTCCATCCAAGACACTTGTGTGTGACATTATGCGGGATGGACATGCCAGTGGGGATCAGGGCAACAGAATAGGTAGATCTGTCATAGCAGCTTCATTGTGTCACTCAGCACGTGGAGAAAACAACTTCTGTACCATAGCCTGCACCTCCTGTACTGTGCCTTCCTGACCCCCTCTGTACTGTGCCTTCCTGACACCCTTGTACTGTGCCCTCCTGACCCCCCTGTACTGTGCCCTCCTGACCACACTGTACTATGCCCTCCTGACCACACTGTACTGTGCCCTCCTGACCACACTGTACTGTGCCCTCCTGAACCCTCTGTGCTGAGCCCTCCTGAACCCTCTGTACTTTGCCTTCCTGACACCCCTGTACTGTGCTTTCCTGTCCCCTCTGTACTGTGCCCTCCTGACCCCTCTGCACTGTGCCTTCCTGACCCCCCTGTACTATGGCTACCTAACCTTCCTGTACTGTGTCTTCCTGACCCCTCTGTACTGTGCCCTCCTGACCCCTCTGTACTGTGCCCTCCTGACCCCTCTGTACTGTGCCCTTCTGACACCCCTGTACTGTGCTTTCCTGACCCCTCTGTGCTGAGCCCTCCTGAACCCTCTGTACTTTGCCTTCCTGACACCCCTGTACTGTGCCCTCCTGACCCCTCTGTACTGTGCCCTCCTGACCCCTCTGTACTGTGCCCTCCTGACCCCTCTGTACTGTGCCCTTCTGACACCCCTGTACTGTGCTTTCCTGACCCCTCTGTATTGTGCCCTCCTGACCCCTCTGCATTGTGCCTTCCTGACCCCTCTGACTGTGGCTACCTAACCTTCCTGTACTGTGACTTCCTGACCCTTTTGCACTGTGCCCTTCTGACCCCTCTTTATTGTACCTTCCTGACCCCCCTCTGTACTGTGCTGTCCTGACTCCTCTGTACTGTGCCTTCCTGACCCCTCTGTACTGTGCCCTTCTGACCCCTCTGTACTGTGCCTTCCTGACCCCTCTGTACTGTGCCCGCCCGACCCCTCTGTACTATGTCTTCCCGACTCCTCTGTACTGTGTTGTCCTGACTCCTCTGTACTGTGCCTTCCTGACCCCTCTGTACTGTGCCCTTCTGACCCCTCTGTACTGTGCCTTCCTGACCCCTCTGTACTGTGCCTTCCTGACCCCTCTGTACTGTGCCTTTTTGACCCCTCTGTACTGTGCCTTCCTGACCCCTCTGTACTGTACCCTCCTGACCCCCCAATCCTCTACCCTATGGTACTGCAGACATATTTCTGGTATGTCAGTATTTTACTGATGCTATTGTACTGATTCTATTCTTGGGTTAAACAAGCACAGAAGCAGTGAGTGGACTGTTGTATTCAACGTTAAAATAGTACAGTTTCCTTGGCTAAATTATTGGATCATGTATAACTAGCGTTATTTGGGGGGTGTATTTATAAAATTTTATAGAGATATTTGGTGAAACTGCATTTACATTCATTCTGTGATGGGGGAAAATTTAGTGCTAATAGCCTATTTTCTCGCCATTATGGCCATTATTTTTCTTTGCATTATGGCCACTAGATAGAGTTGATGCTCATAGTAAATAAAGTTTTATTTCCTATGACCATCAGCTCCATCTAGTGGCCATAATGTTGTGTTTTCCTGATACACTCTTCTCTAGTAAAAAAAAAAACATTCAAACCTGGAGAGATAATAGCCTTTATTCTGTTGCTATGCTCTTTTTGAGAATGTACCCTTTCTTTTCTATGTTTTGTAATGTACTATAGTTTTCTCTTTCTTGAAAACACTTTGTGGAAAAACAAACACGTAACAAAAATTAATGTTTGCCCCCATTCACACAGAACAAATGTACATGCAGTTTCACAGGATGAATAGCTCTTTCAATTTTTTTTAACTATACCCCTTAAATTAGACACATAGGCTTGATGTATGCAGCAGCTCACAGATGCCACTTTTTAGCCCTAATGGGCAAAAAAAAATGGTGATAGATAATTGCTTATTTTCATTTTGCTCCAGATCCCTCACAATGTTTGCTTGTATCTGTTTGTGTATTAGGATTTCTAGCTTTCAGAAATGCCACAGTGGGATGCTTCCTAACTAGTTATATTACACTGGATTTTTACCACCTACCAAAACCATCAACCCATCAGCAGCCACAACAAGGGTTGCAGTACTCAGCAAAACAGTCAGAGTCAAATGATATTTCCAGAATATTTTATGCCACATGTGTTTGTAGTGTAATTTGTGTTTATCACTGGATTCTCTGCAAGAGCTGTTGGGTTGCTGCATTTTTTGAGACTGTGGTGTTGTAGCTAGACAATTACATAAATAATTTTACTAATGAACAATACTTTTGCAGCAGTGTTACTGAACTTATTATAACTCTTTCTGTATGTGCTCAATTTTAAAAATAAATTGTTACTTATGGTATGTAAAGCACTGGGTAAATTGTAGGCGCTATATACATGCCTGTAACAAATAAATGAATAGGTTAATAATATGTGTCTTGTAAAACCACACCCATTTAAATGAATGCCCCACCCGTAATTAAAGTACATTATCCGCCTACAATGGCTTGCTGTACACTCAGCAAAAAAATAAACTTTTGAAATGTTGGCAACTATGTATGCGGCTTTGTGTGTAAACATTACCTCACATTCCACAGTGCTTTTTTCTCCATTTATTTCCAACTTCACTGCCAGGGTTAAGAACAGCTTGGGTTATCTTAATACAAACATTAATAATTCATCAAAGTCTCTTTGAAAACACTTCATTTTAAAGCTTACTATACTCTGTGCAAATGCTAGTAAAATGAGTCTTTGATAAAGCATTGTAAGTCGTTAGCTTTTCAGAGATATATTCAAAGCATTCTCCCCATAGATGAGGGTCTGTCAATGGAATAAATTGATGTTTTGTGCTGTTTATTCAGCGAAAAAAAAAAAAATTTTGTATGTTGGTTGCTTGATAATTTACTTTCAAACTAACCTGTCATAACCTAGATTTTGTTTTCATGTCCAACAATATAGATACTTGATGAAATAATCTGCATTTTGATTCCATATCTCAATTTAAAAGGATGTTTCTGTGAATTGATTTAGAAGGGCTTTAAGTGGTGCAATGTGTTATGGAAGAATAACAAACCAAAACCACTGTTATGTGCAGTGAATATGTAATCCAAGACAGAAAATATACAAAAATATATATCTTTATTTATACGAAAGTTAAATAATGTTTTATAGATCTTCTTAAAGATTTAACTTTTAACTTTTGTATATATATATATATATATATATTTTTTTTTACATTTTTATTTTAACCTTTCTACCTGCACCTTGTGTTTTTCACCTATAGTAGCATAAATCTTCTAATTCCTGTATCAGAAATGTCTGTTTGTGTACAAATTTAAGGCATGCTGCATGGCACTGCACAGGTTAATGCAAGACCTCGGTCTTTTATCTAAGAACTGACACTTCATGTGAAGAGACTATATATCCCACAACTTCTGGGTCTCTCAGTCTGGTGGTCTAAAGGTGAGAGCTTAACAGTAATTCTATCTGACATAGCCAAAAGAAGGCAGAGCAATGAATGGAAGAGATGTGTTTAATCACATTGACACTCTCACATTTGTGATGCAACACAAATATATAACATTTATATATGTTAAAACAATTTTTTTTTTATATGTTAACCACAAGCCTACAGGGCACTTATATCCCCTACCTGCCCAGGCCAATTTCCAGCTTTCAGCGCTGTCACACTTTGAATGACAATTGCGTGGTCATGCAACACTGTACCCATATGAAATTTTTATCATTTTTTTGTGACAGATAGAGCTTTATTTTGGTGGTATTTAATCAACTCTGGTTTATTTTTTCTTAAACAAACCAAAAACCACTGAAAATTTTGAAAAAAAATGTTTTTTTCTTAGTTTTTGTTATAACATTTTGTAAATAAGTGATTTTTCTCCTTCACTAATGAGGCTGCAGTGATGGGCACTGATAGGCTGCACTGATGGACACTGATAGGTGGCACTGATGGGCACTGATGAGGAGGCACTGGTAGGTGGCACCGATGGGCATTGACAGGCATCACTGATGGGCACTGAAAGGCAGCACTGATATATGGCACTGACTGGCACTGTTAGGCGTCACTGATGCGTACTGATAGGTGGCACTGATTGGTGGCACTGTCCGGCACTGATGGGTGACACTGAAAGGCAGCTCAGATGGGCACTGATATGTGGCATTGATGTGCACTGGTAGGCACTGATATGTGGCATTGATGTGGCACTGACATGTGGCACTGATGAGCACTGACACAAGGCAATGATGAGCACTGACAGGTGGCACTGCTGGGGCTACATTGATCATCAGGGCACACTGATCATCAGTGCCCTGATGATCAGTGTACATGTCCCCCGATTACCGGCTCTCCTCTCCTCTCAAGCGGTAAGCGTGACAGCTCGTGAGGAGAGAAATGCTGATAACTGGCATTTCCCTGTTTACATGTGATCAGCTGTGATTGGACACAGCTGATCACATGACCAAGCCGACATCTTCGGCTCTTTCCGTGGATCGGTGATCCGCTGTGTCTGAGGGACACAGTGCACTACTGATCGCTGAGCACTCCCTGAGCCGCACATGCGCGGTAAGAATGGGAAGACATCATATGACCTCCTCCCAGAATGAAAGAACCACCTTGTGCCCGTAATTTTACTATGTGGCGGGAGGTGGTTAAAAAAAATCTGAAGAATCTGAAAAAAAAATATTATTTTAAAGTATATTCTTCAGATGTTGTTTAACATATAAAAGTCATTTTAACGTATATTTTTACATATATTTGTAAATGCATTCTAAAAATGTAGATTTGTATTTTTAAAGACATACAGTATATTTGAAATGTATTTTTAAAAATATGTTTCATATATTTTGTAATAAAAATGCATTTCAACATGCAATTATATATATATATATATATATTTATTTTCATTGAAATATATTTTGAAATAAATTGAATATGGCCAAAATTGTAGCATTTCAAATATATGCCAATATATTTGGGAAGAATATTTTTAAAATATATTTCAAATATATGTTTCTTCCATGTGGGATGTATTTGGCACTGTGTGACCTGGAACGAGAGGTTGTCTGTGTAATCAAATAAAGTACTGGCACTACAACCCAATTACAGGTTTAGGATGGGCTAGAGCTCTCTACACTCACCGTGCCTAACAAGTGGTCTCCAATCCGCACACAAAAGGCCTCCTATGTAAGGTGAAGTTGGCAACCAGGTGAGAATTAATAAAATCTAATTTTATTCAATGCAAAGGAGTACATACGTTCCAAAATGGAGCCAGCTACAGTTGCCCACTTCACCTTACCTTGAATAAGCTGTCTGTCCCTTTAGCAAATAGGAACAAGTGGATCACTATATAAATATAGAGGAATCAATCAGCCATGACACTACAAACTGCAGCTGCAACATGTGAGCCTATCAATATAAGGTAAGGCAAACAAAAAACAGAAGGGATAGAACTACGCTAATACCTAACTAAACCAACAAAAGATTTGAAAATGTACAATGCCTTTAAAAGGATAAGTCTACCTTTTGATCAAAAATAATAAATGCATACTTTTCTGCAGGTAAAAAAATGTGCATTTATTATTTTCGGTTGTAGGAGCCTGTAAAGCATTGCTGATCGCTGGTGCCATGCAGGTCTCCTGCAGACCTATCAGTATATCTGCTTGCCCGTATGGAATTCACAGAACACTGTGAATGAATGACGCGGCCATGTCACAGGGAGTGGGGGGAGGATCGGGCAGTGGCTGCAGCATTGGGAACATGTTCCATGCTAAAAATGGGTGGAACGTGTAACATGTTCCCAAAGGTGAACTTATCCTTTAAGTATTTGTATTGTGCCCCTAGCTTTTAGCTTTATTGGTTATGTGGCCACAGCTCCTACCTGAATATGATGACAACCTTGGAAACCTGTGACATAGCGAGACAGACAAATAGAAATAACCTGTAACTTTATTTAACAATGGCCACGTGCTGAGAATAGGAAAAATAATTAATTTAAACAAAGTAAGTTCAATACTCAAAAAATGGAGTCACAGTATTGCTATTAGAAGATCAACAAATGTGATGTAGCAGTTCAATTTCTGTTATCTTAGGGTTCATGTACACTGCAGCTGATAAACTGACGTTTAGGAGCTTTTCTGCATTTTTTTTTAGCAGCCCCTGAACTCTCCCCAATGTTTTCCTATGTGTCCATGTACACTATGTTGTTTACAGTCATTTACAGGCAGTTGAGTTTACAGTCATTTTTTTTTAACTCACCAAACTTGCGTTCAGGAGTAGATTTTATTGGCGTTTCAAACCCCAAATGCTTGTAAACGTGGCTAATCGTGTTTATAAGTGTTTGCGTTTAGAAGCGTTTTTTAACTGTTCCATATCCAGATGCTGTCCAGAGCCTTTTTTCATTATCAGAAATGCATGCATGTTTTCCATGTATTGAAATGGACCCAGTACACCAGCGCAGTCAGTTCCAGGTTTTGCGTGAAGGAAAAAATGGTAGAACGTATTACATTATGCTCATGATGGGATCCATAGTGAATACAACCAGAAAAGGCAGCTAATCTCAACAAATACTGCTCTTTCTGCTTCTGCTCTCTCTATTTCTCTCAGAATGTCTGAAATAGTTAATTTTTTACTGTTTTTCAGTGCACTCTGGGCATTTTTGAAAAAACGCTCATAAACACGTATAAACACGGTATGAAAACGTGGCTAAACAGGTGTTTTTTAACCTACGTTTTCTAGCAGTCAGTTTCCATCGTTCAGAAGTGTTTCCCAAATGTCCCGTGTACATGGAGCCTTACTAAGCCAACTATAATATGCTTTTGTTGGTAAGCTGATGGGGCTGCAGTGGGGCCCTAAACTACTGAGTTCTAAGCAACTTTCTTTACAAAGCAACAAAGCAGTAACCAATGTACAGTATAACACATGGAATGAAACAATAGGTGTGCCAATCCTTTAAAGTGATCGACCTTGAGGAAGTCTCTTCGCAGACAGTTCACTTTATCCAGCAGTCATTACTGTAAAGCAATTGTCTGTATATATCCTTGGTATTTGTCTGACATTCTTTCTTTGACTATGCAATACAGTTTATCACGCTATCTCCTGATAGGATTGAAGGGGTAGTTAAAGATATGACTCACTGTGACAAACTCCTGCGCTCCTACCTAAAAACTAATACCTACCAACAAAGGTAAAGCTGCTACATACAGTCATATACCCATAGACAAAAAATATAAATGAAACACAAATGATGCAGCGCTACTACCATAAAAATTCTTCACACATAAATGAATAAGTGAAACAGTGCAAAATTAGTGACACAAATAACATAAAACACACAATATTAAATAGTGCCAAAAAACTCATAAATAATCACATGTGACAAGTGTCAATACGAGGTCCTAAAAGGACCAAATAACATAAATGGTGCCCCAAGTAATCCAATGGGATCCAATAGTGCTCCAAATCAAACAAGTAAGTCACAACAGGACTCAATGTGCTAAAAAAAACCCTCCCACCGGAACTAAAAATTAGTTCCCACCATATAACACAAAACACACGTGCATCCCAATAAACGCATAAACTAAGAACTGATCATGCAAACAAACATGAATAAATATATAAAGTCCTGTGAGGTGTTAAACACCTGACAAAATACAAAAAAAATATATAAAGTCCACAGCAATTCTTGAAGAATTAAAAACAAAAGTGCTGATAAATGTGCAGAGATATCCAAAAGTGGCTGAATTGCCCGCTCACCTCCCTCTTGCGACCCGCACAGGGTCAAAAGGCCTTCAGGATCACTAACACATGGACCCTTAATAGTAGGTAATCCTCCACAGCTCTCCACACTGACCTCCCCTCATGTACAGATTCAAGCACAGGCTCACAGGGCAGCAGATCTCCTCTTCAGGCACGTAAGATGGCTTCAGCCACTTGATCCCTCAGAAAATATAAGTGAATGCTTGCATAGTGTGAAACTATTTATTCACCAAACAATATCGAATATGCTCACATTTAAAATCATCTTGTACATCACATGTAAATCAAACCTCAGATCAGATGTACTTGCATGGGTGTCCAATGTAAATAAAGAAGGCGTCCGACCGGAAGTGCGTCACCGCCGACGCATATCGTCAAGCTTAACACGTGACTTCATCAGGGCCTTTCTTTACAAAGCAACAAAGCAGTAACCAATGTACAATATAACACATGGAATGAAACAATAGGTGTGCCAATCCTTTAAAGTGATCGACCTTGAGGAAGTCTCTTCGCAGACAGTTCACTTTATCCAGCAGACAGGATTGTCTGTATATATCCTTGGTATTTGTCTGACATTCTTTCTTTGACTATACAATACAGTTTATCACGCTATCTCCTGATAGGATTGAATGGGTAGTAAAGATATGACATTTCTTTATGACAATACAGTATTAAGATTCTAGAAATCTGAGAGACAGTCACTTTAGCACATGTAACTTGCCAGATAACACTTGATAACAGTCAGCTCTCCCCAGTCTTTTTAGGCAGATGAAAGAAACATACACAATAAATATGTGTACTCAGTGTGCACAGCTTACTCAGCGATCCCAACAATGGTATTAGTTTCCATGAGTCCATTACCACATTACCATTTACCCCCCTTCAAGACCAGGCCATTTTTTGCTATACGGTACTGCGCTATTTTAACTGACAATTGCGCAGCCATGCAAATCTGTACACAAATTAAATTTATATAATTTTTTCACTCAAATAGAGCTTTCTTTCAGTGGTATTTGATCATTACTGAGTTTTTTATTTTTTGTGCTATAAATGAAAAAACTGACTTTAAAAAGAAATAAACAATATTTTTTACTTTTTGCGATAAAACATATCCAATAATAATAATACAAAAAATGTTTTCATAAATGTAAGCCAAAATGTATTCTGCTACATGTCGTTGGTAAAAAAAAATCCCAATAAGTGCATATTAAGTGGTTTGCTTGAATGCTATAGCATCTACAAATGGCGGTATATATACTGGAATTTGTATTTATTTTTTTAATACTAGTAATGTCGGTGCTCAGCGACTTATAGCAGGACTGTGATTGTACAGCGGGCATTTTGACACAAACTGGGTGGGGGTTATATCTGCAGTGACACTAATATAGCGATCAGTGCTAATAAAAAGCACTGAACTGACACTGTATTAATGACACTTGGCAGGAAGTGGAAAACATCTGGGGCAATCAAAGGGTTAACTGTGTGTTAGGGAGTGAATACGCTGTGCACTCTGTGCTGTTTTACTAGGGGATGATCTGGATTTTATCTCCCTGCTTTGCTGAAAGATAAAAACCAGCATGTCCCTGCTGACAGAAGAGAGATCTGTGTTGTTTACACTCACACTTCTGTCTCCTGTCAGCTTCTCTGCCAATCACTGAATCCCAGCCGTGGATTGGCTGGCCGGGACCCGGTGATTGACACCTACAGGAGCCAATGACAGCATGGCGCATGTGCCCTTTACCTGGAAATGCAAAATCACACATACATAT